AAAGGGGGGGGGCCGGAGCAAGCCCCCCCCCCCCCCCCCCCCCGGGTTCCCATCAGCCTCCTCGTAGAGTGGCGTGTGTCGAAATCTATCCAGATATTTTGTTATCCGCATACAATAGATTTGTTTGAGATCCCTTGTACCTTGTACACAGCAGTTATGCAGTTTGACAGCATGGCCTTTGAATGACTCTCGTGAGCATCATGAATACCCCGGGCCATCCGTTAGTGGGGGCGCATGCACACGTCCTACCGATTTTTCCCTCGACCAAGACAACAACTCGTGCTGTTCTACTACTGTCCTCTTACGTATGTGCCCCCCCTTTTTGTGCTTCTTCTTTTTTTGTCAGGTTTTCTGGGGTTTGGACAAGAAGCTCGCGCAGAGGAAGCACTTCCCCTCGCTGAACTGGCTCATCTCCTACACCAAGTAAGCCTTGAACCTTTTGCCTTCTGCACACATGCGTGTTTTTTTTATCGCTAGCGGGGAACTCTTGCTCTTTGTGCAACGCTCCTTTCAGCAAGTATCCGTTGTTCACGATGACGTCGTTGCATACCGGTCGGTTCCCGATTGGCACCCGTCGGTGCTGGAACAATGGATGGGGCTTCGAAAGTCGGTCTCGCAGGCGTGCGCAGGGGGGTCACGGGGAATGGGCCGTGAAAATGCGTGGGTGCGGTGTGGATGATTCCACTGATGCGGCGGAACATGACGAGTGTGTGTTTGCGGTAATGTCCGACCGGGAAATGCCGAGTGTTCGATAACTCATTACCTGGCCCAGTGGGCGCCCTGGTTGGTTTTTCCGTTCAACGGCTGGCTGATAAAAAAAAAAGGCAATTTTCTCTGCGATGTGGCGTTTCTGTTCTTGGCATGGACGTGTAGACTTCTCTTGACGGATAGGTGATCTTTCGGGGTCCAACAACAAAGAAAAACGAAGGAGAAGCTTCCGACCTACGGCTCTCTATCTCACGCCCCCCCTGACGTCGCCCCTCCCACGCCGCGAACGTTTCTCCGAAAACGCCTCTTGGCACTTTTGTGTGTTGCCGCGAAAAACAGGTACATGCGCGTGCTCGAGCCCTTCTTCAACAGCTACGACGACAACTACAGCGAGCTCCGCACGCGGTGCCGCGACATCTTGCAGCAGGAGGACAGCCTCTCGGAAATCGTGCAGCTCGTCGGACGTGACTCGCTTTCCGAGGACCAAAAGGTACCCCCCCCCCAACACAACACAACCACGGGACCCCCGCGACTTTTTTTTTTCTTCTTGCGTTTGCTTCTTCCCCTCACAACCAGATATGGGGCATGAGTTGGTTAGGTCCCTAGAGGTGGTTTGTTGTAACGCGCGTCTTGCTCCAAATGATTTGTTTTGGCAGGTGGTCCTCGAGATCGCGCGTTTGATCCGTGAGGACTTCCTCCAGCAGAACGCCTTCACGGACTACGACTACACCTGCCCGCTGTACAAGTCGCTCGGCATGCTCAAGGTTCGTGCACGAGTTGTACTTGGCGTACATGATGCGCGGTTGGTGGAGGTGGTGGTTGTTGCTGTCGTTGTTGCCCTGTTCACGTTCGTGTTCAAAGACCAGGCCTTCCACGGCTGCTTCATGTTCAATACGTTTGCGGTGAAAATTATTGCTAATTAAACCAGTAACAAAATGGGAGTCATGGGTAGAAGTACACACGGAGTTGGTGGTCTTGAGAGCACTTTGTGGCACACGCTTGTACGTCAGTGCTCACGTACTTGGTACAGAGGAGCATTGGATCTCCCATGTGTTTTGACCTTTTCGTCCTCAACATTATGGGGGGGTTGTGTTGCCTGTGCGTTCCTAACCTCTTGTTCGTGTAGCCGGCGACGGGCTGTATGTGCCTGTTGCAGACACCGACTCTAGCACCTCCACGGTTTGTTGTCTGTAATGCTGTCGGCTGTTGGCCCGGTGTAGGTTGGTTGCTGTCGCCGACTTTTCCAAGTGTTGGCTTGGGGCTACCCAAAACGCGACACTCTTGAAAATCACGCTACCGCTGTACGCTAAGTACGCCTCTTCTCTTATGTATCCAGGATATTGCCATGCCCCCCTTCGCAATATCCCTCAACCGTCCGTCCCCCCTACCGTAACCCGACCCCGGCAAACGAGCAGACGATCATCACGTTCTACAACTGCACCCAGAAGGCCATCGCCGACTCGCCCGTCGAGGCGAAGGTCACGTGGGCGCACATCAAGACCACCATGGCGCCCCTCTTGCAGAAGGTGCGTCCTTTCCGGTGCTGGATGTTGTTGAGGAAGCAACATGCTTGCACGATGTTTGCGAGACAAGTATTGGGTGTCGGGAGTTGCTTCTGTTGTTGTTGTTGTTGTTGTTACGCTTGCCTTCTGGACCACATTTCATTGAAACGTTCACCTTTGCCTTGTGCAGCAGCAGCAGCAGCAGCAGCAGCAATATTTCATTTTGGTGTGATACCTTGTGATTTGAACCAACGATGCACCGCTTTGATGCGTGTCAAGGCCTTAAACGCGCTCGTTTTTCACACATGGATACAAGAGACCTTTTCTTGCTTGTTGTCGTGCGTGGCTCATACGCCCTACGTGATGCCCTCCACCCCCCCCTCCCTCCCTCACCCGGCCCTGTGCACCGTCGTTCTGCCTGCCCCCTCAACCACCGCTGCCTCTCGCGATGAAAACATTAAGGTCGTGGACGGCAAGTTCATGGAGCCCAAGATGCCGCGAGCGCAGATGGACGCGGAGTATAACGCTACGTGCGACGAGATAGAAACCGCCTTCCAGTCTTTGGCTGACCTGTAGTTGGTCGCCGAGAAAGGAGTTCCACTCACGAACGCTAACGCTTACCTTGGTTGATGCTAGCTTGACAAACGCCAAATTGAATTTCGCGGGCGAGCTTTTTGGTCCATTTTAGGAAGATAGGGTAGGAGATTTTGGCTTTTTTTTCTGCAGAAGAATTTTGGCTTTCGGTCGGCCGAATGAGAGTGTAGCGGGGAGGGCTGTTCGGGTGGACCGCGTTTGCTTGCGGCACCATCGCCTTTACGGCGTTGAGGGCCGACAGGCAGATAAACCTAGCAAGCGGACGGACGTGATTCTCTCCATGGTTTGTATTAGTTTTTTTTTTGTGGTGTGGCCCATGGATCGTTCTGGGAGTAGTACCCCTTGGCTACCAGTACATACATCCCAAGGCAGCTCAGTGGGAAGAAGGGCGGGAGGCCGCGCCCGGGACGCGTTTTTTTTGTGTGCGGGGACGCACACACCGTCCGTCCGTTCGTTCGTTCACTCGTGGTACTTGGCGTGGTGCCGATTTGGCTTCGTTTTTTCTGTTGTCGTTCGGACACGTCACAGTCGTGGAGGTGATGTAGCTCGAGACGTAGAGGCGCTGCCCCCTGGTTGTGGGGAATCGTCTAATGGTTCTGGTACTGCTGAAGTAGCGAGCCCGCTCATTCGGCTGGAGTTTGTCCGCATTTTCGATTTTCGAGGCCGTTGTGTTGTGTTATCTCCCTGTTTCGTCGTCGGGCGTGCAGCCGGGGGCAGGGGGCTCGCCGTGATGTTTTTGGCGCCGGGGGGGGGGGGGTCCAAACGACACACAAGAACAGCAGTGGTACTTTAAGTGCATGGTCAGCACGTTTTTGTGTTGTGCGAAGGCACTAGGTTGGCGCATGGCTCTTGTTGTGGTGTTGTTACTGGGGGTGTATTTGTGGGTGTCCGGGGTATACCACTGTTTTCCTCTTTTCCTTGGTCTTGTGTTTTTCTTTGGGAAGAGGAAAGAGGAAAGAGCTTGATACTCAGGGCTTCCAGGTGTCCTACGCCTTCTGTGATCAGTCTTGTCCACCCCCCCCGTCCCCGCGTTGTCCCCTCCCGGATACCACGTCATGACGACAAAACGATGCAAGCCGTGTGAAAGGTCGAAACTTACTCGATGAACGACAGGGCATGAAAACGGATGGCACATCGGCATGGGAATCTTTGTCCGCTCATCGTCGCGTAAACTCGTTTCGCCGAAACGACGAAAATAAAAGGGAGAAGAGACGGCAGTAGCGCTGGAAAACAAACGGCTGTCCTTCATCCCAGCTCTGCGGCCACATTATGAGGCACAACCCTCCCCCCGCGTTCATTTCTCGGCACCGGGGTGGGGCGGGGCGCCGCAGAACACACAAGGGCGTATGGGAACTACTGTCCCCCGAGCACAACCTGGAGAAGGTGGTTGGCAGGGTGTAGATGCTCTCGCAAAGCGACAAAGGCGTGAAGCAGAGAAAATCAGAACACCAAGGGCAGACCTCGGGCATCGATTGCCCCGGCCCGGCACACCACACAGTGTATACATATCCCAACGCCGTCCATGCTATATTTTCGCCGTGTTCGCCCGAACCACCCTACCACCGTGCCAGCCGGAAGATTAGGTGGCCCCCAAGATTGCTCGAGTCCTGTTTTTTGGCTTTGCATCTCAGCACGGCGTGAAGGTAAGTTGAATCAAAGACAGCCCTTTCGATCATCTCTCGGTCTCTCGTAAGGTTTACAGTACCACACTTCGCCCCACAACCTTTAGCCAGACGTGACAAATACACCGGCACGATCAACTTGAGACCCTTCGCGGGGAATCCGTCGTACCTTTTACCCCAGAGCCAAACAAAGCCCGTATGCCTGTTCCTAGCTGCACATTTGCGACTTTCGAACCTATTGCTCCGCATGGGCTACAGCCTATTCACGCCCCTCGTGACACTGCGGCTACAAACTTGTTCGTTACACATGGCGCACACAAACACCAACGTTCTCGTTGGTAGGATACGAGATTTGGTGCATCTCTCTCTCATCGCTCAGCCGGCTACTCCGGTCGACGCCAACTCAAGACACACAAACACACATACACTCAAAAAGGAAGGTGGTTTTTTCTCACCCACCTAACCGCTCACGTCTTCTCAAAGGTCCGCCGCTCCGCGCAGCCGACGCAGAAACAAAGCAACAGAATCGCACATCGCACATCGCACATGCACACCACAACACACTGCGCATATGTACATGACGTAACAGCGTAACAAGGCTCCTATCCAACCACGCACGCAAAGGGTTGATTTCCCACGAAAGCTGTAGTTTCCGTGAGGGCCGCTCCTTTGGGCCCCACGAAAAAAAAAACACAAAACAAAAATACTAAAACGATCGATCGAGGCCCAACCCTCCCTCCCTCCCGCTGCTACGGCAAGGTCGAGTCTCCCATTGTCGGTAATGGCCTCGCCCCCCACGACGACTTGTACCACGAGTACCCGGTCAGGCACGCGCAGACCAAATACATGGCTGCGGCGCCGAAGACGGAGCGCGACCGGGCCAGGTTGGTCGCCGGAGAGTCCTCCGGGATGATGTAGGGGGACCCGCTCGCGAGCGTGAATCCGAGCCAGGTCAGGAAGGACACCCCCCACAGCGACGTCAAGAAGCAGATTTTTGTACCTGCCTCGACAAGTAAGTTTCGTTAATAGTGCGGTACAGGTGGGTACAAGCGTGCGGAGTTGTTACGTTTTGGTTGAGGGGTGTGCGAGGCACACGGTGTTGCGTTTTTGATGCCAGAGGGGTCACGCGTGAGTCGTATCCGACTTGTGTTTCCGTTGGTTGGGGAGAGCCGGGAGTGTTACCATTTTTTGTGTGTGTTCGTCCGGGGTAGGGAGTGGATGACAAGGGGGACGTGCATGTAGGAGGTGCTGATGTACAAATCTGGATTTTCAGGGCTGAATGGGTGTTTGTTGCAACACACAAAAAAACGGACGTCGTGGGTGTGCCCCAACAAGGCAAGACAACGATGCCCACAACTCAGCAGCACCCCACAGCACAAATTAGCAGAATATTCTGCGCCCAAAAGAGTGACTGCCCTACAGGAAGACGGCGGACGAGACCATCCGCACAACCTGAGCACCCTCCTTTGCGGGCCACCTGGGTGCCCTCAAAACCTGACCTAATTTTAGACACAACAGTCAGCCTTTGAATACGGGGGTGCACCTTCGAAGACCTTTCTTCGTTTCATGGTCCTCGGGACACGAGACACAACCAACCGCTTCTCGCGCGTACCCCTCAAGGGGTCAACCAACCCCCCCCCTCCCGCGGAAAAGACTCACATGGCCCCGCTCGGGAGTACATCATGGAAGCGTCCAACCGCTTCCGTCTCAAGACCTTCATGTTGGTGTAGAGCGGCGTGTACGGCGGCCACAACAAATCGTCCTCCTCCTCTTGCCGCCCCCCGCCCCCCGTCGTCGTCGCCCCGACCCCCGCTTCCCCGCCGCCGCCAACTCTCCGCCGCGGTCTTCTCAAGTCGCGGTCCTGAGGCCTGCTCCCGCCGAAGTTACCGCCGGCGATCTCGAACTCCCCCCGGCCCCCGTCCCCGTCATCATCGTCGCTGTCGGAGAGCAGCACCGGCGCGTAGCCCAGGGACGGGGGCAGCCTTTGCCGCAAGGTTTCCACGGCCCTCATCATGCGACCTCGATTTATGACCCTAGGGCCAAGCCTCCGTCGCCGTCACCGCGGCTTCTTCCGTTTTGAGTGTTGCCGATGACGGTGGTGGTAATGCAGAACCCGTTACCGCCAGCTCACATCCGTGGCAGCAGCCCCTACGAGAAGCTTGCCCTCGGCCGTGTTTGTGAGCCCTACTCTTGCCCCGCTTCTCGACCTCTCCTTCCCTGACTGCTGCTTTCGCGACAGACACAAGGGCGTGTGGGCTCCTGTGTCTATGAAGGTCACGGCCGCCTCCGCCTCCGCCCTCCAGCCTCCGGTCGCTTCCCGCGGCCTGCGAAAAAAGGGGACGAAGGTCGCAGGCAAAGGGGTCGCTATTGAGCCCAGCGCGTGTCGGGGGTTCCCGTTCACCAGTGTCGTAGACCTTGATCCGGACGCGTAAATCCAGCAGTGGCGCGTTCGCGCCTGTGGGCGTTGAAGGGAGTTACCACGTTGTTTAAAACTCTACCATGCACACAGAATTCAACACTGTCGTGGGGAGTGACCGCGGTGCTCACAGAAACGCTAACATGAACACAGAGCACAAGATCACCCCCGTGCAAAATTAACTTGGGTGCAAAAACACGAACCCAGCCCCCTGGTGGCATACTGGAGTCGGTGAGGCCTCTCTCTAAGGCATCCCGGTTGCGTTCTATATTCTAGGCGCATTTTGAACCAGTGCCCAAAACATTATCTATGCTTTCGTGAGTTGATGGGTGGAGACATAGAGGGAATTTGTTCCTTGGTAATCGATTTACAGGCCGGGCTATGCAAGGTAGCCGAAACACTCATGCGTAGGACACAAGCAACAAAAGCAAAACGACCAACCAACATGCCCGGGAAAACCGAAATCACGACAAGGGAACGGCGGAGTCCACGAAAAGCCAGACATACACATTCTGTCGGGATTCCGTACCGTGTGCTTCACCAACAAGACACCAACCCTTGGACATACTCCCAAGCATATGCATTCTGCTGTTGGAGGTGACACAAGAAATCACACCCCCTGGATTGGTTTCAAAGCTCGGTTACTCCACACAACAGGAGACTCGCGGTGCCGAAAATGGCGGCGTTGGAACCATCTTGTCGAGAGCTTCCCGAAAACGTATCGATTGATGTTTGCACCCTCCTCTTCGTGGAGGAAGCGAGCTTTGAAAATAGGTCCAAGGGTGTGTGGTATCTTACGTATTGTGACCTACCCATGGTAGGTACATTAGCTCACAGGAAAAGCCTTCAACTCTCGGCTGATAGAGGTACGAACCCCGATAGAGGCTGCCAACGTCATTACTCTTGTCAGGTCCATGGTAACAAAGGGTGGAGTGAAGAAAGCGGCGCAATCGAGCGGCAACAACCGACGGTGGTGCCAATGTCAGACAAACACGCCTGTCATCTCTCATGGACCACCTCGAAAGACCCAGCTCAATGAGGACTTGGAACGCTGTAGGAGGAACAGAGAACCGATGGCTGTGAACCCTCGGGCCAAGCTCCCCTCCCCTCCATGCCGCTGACGGCTTTGCACACGATCGGCGTAGCTTTGTTTCGGTCTCTGTCTATCTACCCTCTTGCTGTCCTTGTCTATGTTCCAACTTCCTCGTCGTACAGCGCATCCCGACGTTGTGTCTCGACTGCTTCATGTTACATACCAGGGTACCGCAGTCGCTAATTCAATCTCACTCTACTTCTATCTTCCCCCAACAAATGCGAATTTAAATCACTACCACAAACCACGGCAAGAGAAAGCCCCAAAAGAGGAAGACCATTTGCCGTCTTCTTTGGTGGTTCTGGGGGTCGCGCGTGGCGGTTACGATGTTGTCCCAACTCCCAACTCCCGGTGTGCACGTGGAGGCGTGGGGTTCACGGTATTTCGTGACTTGACCGCCACCAGCAGAAAAAATGGGGGTGGGCTCCCACCACTCGTCTTGTGCATTGAAGCGGTGCGACAGGCACTGCTCTGTGCTGCCTAGAAAGGTTGGAGAGGTGCATCCAACGCCTGCCGGCGGCAGCACCATCGGTGTCGGAACGATTGCTGCTGCTCTCCAAGAAAGAAGTGCGGGGAAACTCTCACCGCCGGTGCATCGCATAGTTACGCGTAGAGCCACACATGTGTGCCCACCTGCGTACGCTCCTCTATGGGGACCAACACCAGTACTGCTGTAGCAGTGGCTCCTCTATGCAAGGCGCGGCAACAACAGGAGTAGACTGACTCCCCGCGCCGGAAGGAGGTTTCGTTGGCGGTGGATGCTATATTACGTTCACAGCCACGGAAGGGACGAGCACGCATATGATACATGATGCGCGTGCATTGCGAAAACACGCGGCCTTGCTTTCTCACCACAAAATCAAGGCACCAAGCTCCCGTTTGTAGGCTTCGCTTCCGTGGAAAATCGGGCAGAGTCCACAGAGGTGATTCTTTGGAATGCGGTCTCGTTGCTCGACAAAGCACGTGACTTGTCTTTCAAGTTATGTTATGCGGGGGGATTCGCAGTTGGGGGAACAGGGGGGGGTACCGTCGGGAGAATGCCTCTTCGCTTTTTAACAGGGATCGGGGCTACGTACCTACCCCACAAAAAATCCTTGCTTTCTTGCTTGCTGCCAAGGCTGCTTGCTGAACGAGGTCGAGCCCGAGGTCTATCTCGAGAGCGGGTTCATTACCACAAGCACTTTATCAGGGAGAAATAGGGCAGTACGTGGAGTACAATCACAACAATTCCAGACTGCTGGGTGTATCAAACCGCATATTTTTTGTTGCAGGACTATTTGTTCGGGAGTGTCTTCTAAAGACGTGTAACCGTTGTTGGTTTCGAGCCGTTCGTGTACTCATATTTCTGCGGATATACCTCTGTCGGGACTGCTGGGATCGTACTTTTGTTGCAGGAGAGGGGTAGCATCAAGGAGAGAGACACAGAGGAAAGTAGCAACAGAGAAAATACATCGAAAAGAAGAAAGGCATAGCGCACGGTGAAGATCTCGGCAAGAAGAGAGGATCTCGGTGGCGAAGAGCTTGGGTGCCGCGATCGTTCTTCTATTCTCTAGCAGGAGAGGGGAGGAGCTCCTCTTGCCCGCCTCTAAGCACAAGAAGACCAACGATCGAAGGCAAAAGCCTCCTCGGCGGTCGGCAAGTCCTGTGAGGTGCACGCGTCTGCATGCCGCAGGACAACACCTCAAGATACAAGGAGGGACGGTCGTTTGCCAAAAAGCGAGTGGAGACATCGACAGAGGCCGCGGTCGGTCGTTGTTGGAGCATTGCGGTTACAATAATATATCACCGCGTTTTTTTCGTGCCGTGAGGGGCTCGACCAGACAGGTTGTGTCTCGAGCACCACCAGAGACAGCAGTGGCAGCACCAGCGGCAGTAACAGCACCAGCGGCAGTAGGGCAGACAGTTCGGCCTGCGAGGGGAGGAGCGCGAACTACATACGGCAGACCGTGGTCGCGCCAGTGAGAGATCCGCTACAGGCAGATCTTCGGAAAAATCACACACAAACCACCCCGCGCTGCAGCGAGGCTAGTCTAGGTCAGGATGGTCGTGGTTTGCAACATACAGGAGGAGGAACAGGATGGCGTCGAGGTGCTCGTGGAGGAGTCAGACGCCCCGTCGGAGACAATGAAGAATTTCAGGTACTTTCTGATTGGGTAGCGTGCCTTCGAACGCCTGTCACTGCTGTATGTAGTCAATTTGCTTTTTGAGTATCCGACGATACGCAAGACAGTGCTGACACAGCCGTAAATTTCTGTTTCTTCTGTAAACATGTAGCTGTCACTTTTGAACTCACCGATTGATCTCGAAAGCGAACCCTTTGGTCTGAACACATGTATAAAATGGTCGATGAAGCGGCCGCTAACCAGGGCCCCATGAAGCGCACTAACTGTCACCGATATTTCTGAAGCGCGAGCCCAAAGGGCAAGGCGCAAGGGTCATGACTGTCTGACACCCAGTCGTATTGGACGGCCCGTTAGATTTGGAGACTGACGACCAGTTCCCATCAGCCCTCGAAGTTGGAGTACATTGAGTGGTGATGCTGTCCGTCCTGCACAGGGTAAATTATTGCGGGGCATCAATCTTCGGTCCGTACGATCAACGACTTTTCTCGAGAGGAATAGAAGGAGGCAGCAGGTACTTCATGTACCCCAATGACGGAGGAAGTCACGCGTATTCGACCGGAGGGGGAGCCAGGGCAGACGGAGGAAGTCACGCGCGTTTCACCGAAGGAGGAGCTAGGACAGACGGAGGAAACCGCACGTGTTTGACTGGGGGAGGAGCTAGGACAGACAGAGGAAACTGCGCATTTTCGACCGGAGAAGAAGCTAGGCCAGGCGGAGGAACCCACGCGTATTCGACCGTGGGAGGGACTAGGGAAGACGGAGGAAACGACGCATATTCGACGGGACGAGGGGCTAGGGAAGACGGGAGAAACAGCGTGTATTCGACCGGAGGAGGAGCTGGGGCAGGCGAAGGAAATCACGTGTATTCGATTGAAGGAAGGGCGAGAGCAGACGGAGGGACTGACGTTGATTCGACCGGAGGAGGGAGAGACGTGGGCTATGTGTTCAGCAGCAGAGGACGGGGTGGGGGGGATAACTCGTCAGGCCATGGGTATTTCAATGCCAGCGACACAGGACCGCAAGAATATTCAACAAGGGGTAGGGGGACAAGGAGAAGCTCTGGGAGCAAGGGTACCTTCAACAGTGGAGGTTATGGGTACGTCAACGAAGGCGGGAGCTACGGGTACTCGAACGGAGGAAGGGCGAGGGGAGGAGGTCAGCGAAACCTTTCGTGGGCCGACGATGGCCGTCAGGGGAGGCGACACACCACTGCCGCAGCCGCGGCCGCGACAGCAGCAAAGATTGATCGCGGTGACTGTCATGGGAGAACGCCAGAAGAAGAGCAGGGATCTACGCAAGCTGCTGGAGGTGGGATTGATGGAGGAGCTCCCGACTGTGCGCAGAAGGATGCCGCGGGGCGTTCAAAGCAGGTGGGTCCAGCCCGTGATGTTTTGTCAGTAAAACTGTAGGAGGGAAAGTGATGGTCTTGTCTTTGTCGTTCTGGAACAGTTGAAACAAATTTGCGAGGACAGGTATATCCTACGCGACATGCACCACCAGCTGCTTCGTGAAAGGTGGGTTCAATTGTGGATGAGAAAACAACCGCGTTTCTCCGCGGATTGGCATACAACGTTGGCGTACCACAACACCTGAAAAAACATCCGGTGGCCTCTGTCGTGAGGACGACTGATTTTGTGCATTTTGAGAAAATGAGCCAGATTTTCAAGTAACCAAGGTCGTGTTATGGGGGGAAAATGAAGCCGCGGCAGGGCTCTTACCTGCTTTGACCGAGGGTTGACAACAAGTAGCAGGGATGCCGATCGGACGTCAACGGATAATTGTGACCAACGGTTGTCCTGACTTCAGCTCACGATAAACTACAATTTTCGTCGCCTACCGCACCCGCCCAGGCTCCGCGTGGTAGCGCCCGCCAGGAACCCGCAGGAGACGTTGAAGCTTCCATCCAGGCCATGCTCGCTCGCCAATGCACGAACACAGCTGGTTTTCAAGATCGTGTGTCGGAAGCGATCGCTGCAGGTAACGGTTCGCTCTCGCTCTCTCAGTATCCCGATTTTTTGCCCGCCTGTGAAAAAGTCCGATACGTTTATCGATCTGATCGAGATATCAGCACCCACGAAAGACGTTTTTCTCCTCCGTAGCCCCCTCAACCACCGCTTTATTGGGGGCGATATACACGCTGCCTTCGAGAAAAGCATGCTCTTGTAGATTATTCTGTGGGCGTTGAGGTGGACCGTTACGTTTCTTTAACGAAATTGCGAGTCGATTTGAAGAGATGCTTCTGTGTGCGACAATGCGTTTTGTTACAGTCCTCCAGCAGCTAGAAGCGCGCCCACTTTGAACATTCTTGGAGTATTACTATCGCCCAGAAGTAACGTGTTTCGAACATCTATGCACTTGTGCACCTTGTTGCTTGTTCCGCCCTGTTGTCGCCTTAAGACCGCGAGAGCCACCAGTATGACAACAGCTGCTTGGACTCTTCGGACGACGAAGAGGGAGGGGTTGGATCTCTCTCACAGTTCTCGTTCCGGCGCAACCGGCAGGCGGTAGACTCTTCTTCTTCCTCCTCGTCGGCCTCAAGGACTTCACGCCCCAAGACGGCTCTCCAAGTGATGGTAGGTCCTTTTCGCCGTCGCTGTTGCGAACGAGCTGACACTTTTTAGAAAGCTACTTCGCAAGCGGCTAACCTACGTTCCCCAGTCGTGGTTGCACGTGAATAACCATCTGTTTACATGATAATACGCGTTTTGTTGTGTCCACTACGTAAAATAGGTAGAACCGCGAGAAGCGACCAGCGAAAACACGGTGTGACAACCCTCGATGTCTTTCTGCACCTTTAGGGGTACCTCAGTGTTTCGAAGTCAACATCGAAAGTATTGTCTGCTTTGCCCCGGTTCGCTAAATCCGTACGTAAGTTCATCACAATCGTGACCACTTTCTCAATGCGGAGGCCGTCAAACCCAATGTCAGTCTGAAATCGGTACTCAATTGTTTTCCCGGCCGAACACGCACGAGGAGATATAAACGACTGACCAAAACGACATATGTGTATTTACTCGTAAAGTGGACTAGTTTGGTGGGGAAACGTAGGGAATTTACATGCACAATAGTGATGAGTAGGTTGGGCGAGTTTATTTACAGCTGTTGTTGTACACACACTTTTTTCGCTCCTCACAGCATCTACCTGGAATATGTTAGCATCTTTATCCCGCACGGGGACACTTTGCGGGTGGCGAATCATGAAACACGGGGCGCCTACAAGATCGTACCTCATTTCTCTTTTCAGCCGATGATGCCCCAATAACCACGGGATGAGCCAGTGATGGTGTCGCGGGCGGGTGACGAAACCAGATATCCTTTTCCCTTGGGTTGGGATTGGTCTCGGATGTTTTCTTTGTAGTTTTCTTGAGACAAAACAAGCCAATCTCGCTAATTTCTGTGTAGAAGCCATGCACATTAGTACCCGACTCAGTACATGGAAGACATCCGTCCCCGGTGTGGTGATCGTCCTGGTTTCCACCGACTTCTTTCCTTTCCTACCCGGTCTCCATCCTCCCACACCCTCTCCCGAAATACACCACGCACTACGTCGGAAACACGATGATTCGAGCAGCAGGAACACAAGTGCGCCTGCAGCACCACCGAAGACAGCGACCGCCGAACGAGGTCGACTTCGGGCCGTTTTCGAGACCGGGGTGGCGTTACGGCAGGCAGTACTCCTGGCGTTCCCACCGGTGCGAATGGGGCGCGGGGCAACCCGAGGGCCCACGCTACCGGCGGGGCCTACATTCTCCGGCCCGACATACCGGCACCAACTAGCCAATCGGCGACTCCGTACATGGAGCCTGCATCGGTAAACGCATGAACTGTATTGAACCAGGAGATAGCGATAAAGGGTACCTTTCTCGAAATATATCCCATACACGTTGATATCGATGAACCTCACGTACGCAGTAGAGATATTTGGAACAATGTGGACTACTACAATAGAGCGAAGCGGGACGTGTCAGGAAACCTGGCCAGTTAGGAGTATATGGGGTGTGCATTATCCAGCAAGAAGCTCGTGATCAGAGATTATCTCACCTGCACGCAACAGGGTATTGAATCATCCAAGTACATCAGGGTTTCCTACCACAGGGCGGCCGCAGCCCCAGCTCGACAATAGCGCACGAGAAATGACAGATACCCAAGAGTTTCCTTTGGAAGGCCCCACTTTTCGGCGCATCTTGCCCCCGAAGGTATCCCCAATCTATTCAGGACCACGTATTGTTGTCTGGCCTTTTCACAAGGCCTCCGCGATAACGTTTTTAACGCCCTCAAGTACGAAACGCACCATTGCCGTGCTACACGGCACGATCCGTATTAGCTGAACGTGACTGGGACAACCTCTCCTACAGGAACCCCGTGAAGAGAGTTATCTCTCAACCCCCTCCCACTCCAATCTATCCCCTCCCCGCCTGCTTTTCATCCTTCCCCAGCTCGTGAGACCTCCTTCCCTCCAGAGGGCTCCGTATCTCAGCCTGGACGGTGCCGACGAGCCCGTGGGAGACTTGGCGTTCGATCTCAGCTTCGACTTCCCCGTCGCCTACGGCGACGGCATTTCCGACGGCAACGGTAGCGCTGCTACTGTCGCAACCGCGGACATTGGGGGCGCTCCAGGCCTGTCTGTCTGGAACGACTACGGCCTCGGCCTCTCGGGTGGCGATTCCTCGGCTGTAGGTCGCGGCGGCGGCGGAGGTGGAGGCGCCAAAGCCGGCATCAACGATCTCCTCAGCCACGAGGACGACACCTACGGGATTCTTGACGATGAAGATGACGAGGCGGCGTTAACGTTGGCCGCTGACCGTCTATTGGGATACGACGACCCCACGACTTGTCCTGCCGGCCCTAGCACCGCGGCTAGCACCGGAGCTGGCCCCGGCCCAGGCTCCACTCCTCGCCCCAGTCGCGGCCCTTTCCCAAGTAGCCTCCGGCCACCCCGCGGATTCAGCCACCCGGCGACAATGCACACTCGCCAATCGTGGCTCGGTGCCGTGGCTTCAGCTGCTACTGGGGATGGTGGTGCTGCCGGATGCACTTTTTTCGGCGAGTCTTCCATGAACCCCGCGGTCCGGGGCTACCACCGGCGCCGCTCGACCTCTAGGCTCCGCTTCTGCAGCCCAGATGAAGGAATGGGAGACGGCCCCGTTTCCTGCGACGACGAGGATGTCACTCCTTCGGGGCTGCTCGCAGCGGTTGATCCGCGCGGGACGGAGAGGTTCCCTGCCGACGGGGCGGAGATTGGACAGGTGGGATCGGTAACGGAGGCAGAAACGGTGGCGGCGGCGGTGGAGGGGGGAAAAGGTACGACCAGCTGTGAGTCAAGGAACGCCGGCAGCAGTCTCTGCGGTCTGAACCAAAGGATTCTCGCGCCTCGACCTTCGCCGCAGCCGACGTTTCGGACGGCCGAGAACTCTAGACTCTTCAAGTACACCAGAACGTCTATGGTCGATCAGGACTATCGGGCTGGTGACGGTGGCAACAACCCAGGCCTTTCCCGTGAGGTAGCTTCGCCGGGGGAGGACAATGGCACCAGTCCCGGAAAAGACGACCTAGCCAATTGCCCGGTACTTCCTGGCGACGGTGGACGTGTGTGTGGCGACGAAGGTCGCGGTCGTGGTGGTGGCGGTAGCGGTGGCGGAGGTAGTGGCGGAGGGATAGCGCAAGAACTGCTGGGATCTGGTGATAGTGGTGGCGGCATTGGCCGCGTGGACCCCGTTGCACGGGGACAGCGGAGGTTTGGGGTGAGAGCCGACGCGTCGAGAGGTCGTCGCCGGGTGAAACCTAGCACTATACGCTGATATTGTTCTCTTTGTCTCTGGCAAACGACAAGTGGTTTGTTGGATGCTGTCATCATGTTGTTGGGACTGCCGTCCAGTCCTTCGTTCACCCCCCGGATCCTGTCGTAGGTTTCCCAAATTCAGATCCTCTTGAACTCTTTTATCACAATGTACTCCAGCTTGTGTTTTGTCGTTTCTGTTTTGCGGTATTGTGGGGGGTGTAATTACCTTTGACGTAATCCATCCGAGTGTGGTTGGCAGGCTCGTAACAACAGAGGATTGTAAAATTGAAGGGGTCTCGTAAAATATCGCGCGTACGTGCACCAATCGCACAACTTTCGTTTCGCCTAAATAGTAACATTTTCTCATCAATTAGGACACACAGAGGTGCCGGAGGTAGATGTGCCAGTATGCGTACCCCCTTCGAAATTCACACCGGCCCCTTTCGAGTTGCTTCAAAACCGCTTGTTACGGGTTCCGGACATCAAAGTTGCGCAGCTTGTTGAATGTTTCGGGTTCCTTTCGGATGCACGAGTCAGCACAAGACCAAACCAGGCAGGGTTGATCTCGCCTCAGCACCTTTTCTTTCCAGTTCCCATGTCCACGATCTTATGGCTCCACTCGTTCGCACAATCCGTCTATTCTGCACATTGCACATGCTGACCAATGAGACCACCGGCCGCAACCAGATCTATCCTCCGGCAGCGGCGTACCCTCCCTTTGTGTCCAACGGAGAGGGTGACGAACGGGCTGCTGGTTTGGCCGGGGGTGAGATGGGAAGGGCCGGCGTGGCACCAGCCGACAACGACGACAGCGACGGCAGTGATGACCGCCACAGAGCCGATGCGGTGGCGGCAGGAGCATTGCACCGAGGGGAGGGTATCAGCGTCGCTCCGAGCCTACCAGTGAGATCCGCGTTCATTTCTCAACCTGCGGATGGTATCGCGGGTACTGCCCGTGCGGCGGAGGGAAGCGCGGTCGGGGTCGGGGGCGGCCGAAGGATACTCCACGATGCATTATTACGGGGGTCTGCTTCGAGTGGGTTGCTCGACGTCGGCGGTGCCGTCGTTGGGGGGGGAGACGACCAGCGAGTTGTAGGCGGATCGGGTCTCGCCATTGAGGGAAACCAGGGGGGCTCGGCGGAAGGGCTCGGGATCCCTGCCGCGGTTGATGGTGATGTGCGTGCCGGTGGTGGTGTAGACGGTGGCGGTGTTGTTGCTGTTGGCGGTGAGGACCGTGATGAGTACGGTGGTGCTGCTGCTGAAGCGATGCCAACGGCACCACTTGCCCCTTCCTTCAAGTCGTGGTTCGGTGTCGCTGCTGCCTCTTGTGCTATGGGGTTGCTGCGGCGGTGGGCGCAGCGAACGTCGATGGCTGTCGCAACCACAACATCGACCTCAGAACGCACGCTACCAGAGTCATTGTATTCGCCCGCGGCCTTCACCGCAGGCGGGAAGCCATCTTTGGCAGCAATTTCGGGGGGGACGCGCCTCGGCGCGGGGTGGAGGAGGCACCCAGGAGCCATTCCTTACAGGGAGGACGTCAGCTGCAGCATCGAGGAATGTGGGGTGAGGGGAGGGTATCGAACTTCTCACTTTGGGTTCGGTTGTCCGCTGTAAACGAATTGTCGAATACAAACAAGTTGCCGGGGTCAAGGGGAGAAGCCGCGCACGCGCTGCTCTCTCGCTAAGGACCTAGACTCACCGTCGCTCGTGACATCGACCGGTGCGTGCCCTGGCAAAATACCTGTTTGTTGGTTGATAGCACTCGAGAGGGGGCCGGTCCTCCACCGCAGGTGTAATGTGATCTTGTGGGATACCATGCGTTCCTCTCTTTTTCTGACTGCAACAACCACATTCAATCGGTAGGCTCTACCGGTGTTTACTTTTTCGAATTCTTCAATGGTGGCGCATGTTGTTTCGGGATGTACACATTACATATGGTGCTGTTGTTCTATGGTGGGCCTTTTTTGGGAATCCCTTCAGTCAGGACCAATTGTTTCACGCTTCTGCCATTTTGTTAAATGTAGTGACATCATGACAGTACCGGAAGCCCATGGCACGACCACCGGAAAGAGATGTACATAGAGATTGTCATGATGAAAATATGTTGGCACCACAATATTACTTGCGGGGGCCGGAGGGTAGCATGTGTTTGGATTTTTTGCGAGGGTCTCTATTAGTGCAAAATTGCAAGTACCACGTGTTGGTACACTTGCGCAATTTCGTATCAAGCACCCCCCCTACCACGTAGTTGCCAATGCTGGGCCAGACAAGCTCGGCCAAATTTGCAAGTGAGGAAACGCCTGCACCCTGTCGGTCGCGGGGTTCTCCTTTCGTTACAGCCGGAGGCGCGGAGGAAGGGGACATGAACGTGAGGGTTGGAAATGAATGAAAACGGGACGGCGTGTGATGCGGGGGCTCGATGAACACGTTGCTTGTGCCGAAGGGATGAAAGGGTAGCAGTGGTCGGCTGTGAGGAGGGTTGTTCACCAGCATATTTACCAAACGCAAGGAGTTCATTGGGGAACCAACACCGACGGGTGGGGTGAGAGTAAAGGACTAAGGGGGCGTAGCAGAATGGGTGAAGAGAACAAAAAAGGAGCGATTCAACACCACGTTCCGTGATAATACTATGGGAGACATTGGGAACAGGCACGGTGCGAAAACTAACGTACTTCTTCGTGCAATAGGCGGCCATTCACAGCGGAAGTGGTTGAGCTATGTAGAAGAGAGAGTTGTACTGACCAGGTAGCACGCAAATCGATCCAAGGTCACACTTTCGCGGTGTGGACATTGTTCTTCGCCCGTCTTCCTTACTACGCTGGTGCACCATATGGCGCTCATGTTCAGATCCGTGACGTTCGTTACGACTTTTCTATTTAAGACTTGCAATATGATTGCAGAGCCATGTGATGCGCTTTCTCTTTTCTCAGCCCGTGTCTCCATGGCCCAAATGTTATCACTCAAAATCAAGCACCTCATCTTCAACAAGCCGACGAACGTTGTCCATAATCAGGTTGATATTTCCTTTTGCGTTCCGTCGGCATAAGAAAATCAACAACTTTCTCGTGGTTGGAAGCACACGCCCGCGAAAGGATTGTGTCACCGCAAGTTTCTGCAATTTTCTGCACGGCGTCCTGAGGCATGCGCTGTTGGAGCCTACCCCCGTTCCGTTTCCGGTTCTTTACGCTTTCCCCGACACATAGTGGAAAGCACCTGCAATCTTGTTACACAACGCTGAGCACGAAGGCGACGCTGCTCGTGGCGTATTTTTGTGTTTTTCGATTGTTTTCTCGTCACGGGTGTGTAGGCCTCGTTTGAATTCCTCACAAGCCCACCGGAACCCTCAAGCCCCTCTCGCACTCTTGGGCGAGGAAGCGCCAAGAAAGAGATTTATCCACACCATATCGTCTGCGGAACGTGTCGCTGCGACGCGCTGTCGGGTGTTGGGTTAGTGCAAATCCAAGCAGACACGTGATGGTGGTTTCCGTGAGCCAGGCGTAGGCATTCTTCTCTAGACCACGGGCATCCGTTGTTCCTTGCCCATTGCAGCACCTCAAGATGTCCGCCGAAAGCCGCTTGGGAGCACGTCTCCTTGTCCCACGGGCATCCGTTGTTCCTTGCCCATTGCAGCACCTCAAGATGTCCGTTCCGCGCCGCTTGGGAGCACGTCGCCTCGTCCCAGGGGCATCCGTTGTTCCTTGCCCATTGCAGCACCTCAAGATGTCCGCCGAATGCCGTTTGGGAGCACGTCTCCTTGTCCCAGGGGCATCCGTTGTT